CATAGTTTAGTTGAATTGAATGTGTTATTTATAACAATAGTAGTTTTTTTTTCAAAAACACAAGTAGTTAAAAAATAAATTACAGTGAAAGCAATGAAGATTTTGTAGGTTTTGAACCAAACTAAATAACAGTAAACATTTTTTTGATTTACAGTATTTTCTTATTTTGATGTTTTGAGCTTTTTTGTGTTTAGAACAATATATACTAATTTTTAAAGTATCAAATTGAATTTTTGTTCAACAAAAATCTTTCAAATGTGACTAGCTTTTTTGTCCCCAAAACTTTGTCTTCAAAATAAGGGTGCGTCTTATATTTCGAAAAATATGGTAGGCTTCTTAACATTTCTATGTTAATATGTCTAAGTTAGAACTATATAGGGACAAAGAGTAGGTTTAGATTATTCTGCTTGGGGTTTTTCTTCATTTCTCAAATCACGTGACAAAAGTTGTTTTTCTCCCTTACTCTAAGAAATTCACCTGTATCGATCATCTGAGTGGTTAAAATATCATCCTTGCCTCATTATTTTGACTTTTCTTTTGAAGAATCATTTGAAATCCATGTTTTAAGTCTGCCATATTTCATTGTACATGTGCAATACCAGAAGAATTTTTTTTGGTGGAATGATGCCTTCATCCCCAGAGTGTTTGTTGGAGTTGTGTTCAATAGGACAATAGGAAAAGACAGTAACTAAATCTAATAGCATTCTGCTAAACAAGGTAAACATTTTAGGTTTTTACCAAGTTCTTAGTAAACATTTCAGAGCATGGAATCAGTATTATATATGTGCTTGAAGAAAAAGAAATATATTATTACTTGTATGTGGAGCATATCACTTCCTTATACAGTGGGGTGTTCCTGTCTTTTTTTTTGAATAATACATATTTGAGATTTGTGTGTGTGTGTGTGTATATATATATATATTCATGTGTATTACATGATTATGCTACAATTTATTTCCATGGATACCTTTCTACTTTTGGTTACACATACCTTTGTTGTACAGCTATCCTCTGATCTTCTCAGATTGATGTAATTGCAGTTTTGCACCTGTTTTTTTTTTTTTATATATGTTGTTATTAGTGGTGGAGTCTGAGTTGTAGATTTACTTTGGGTTAAGAAACTTCTGTACATATTACTTTTTCTTGTTATTATTACTGTATGTTACAATTAAGTATAATCTCAAATTTTTTTCTGAATATCTGTTCACCAGATTTTAAGAATCTGAACATGTGGATTTCAGTAATCAGCCCAATTTCTAACACATCTTTACTCCATTTTAAGATAAATATGTAGGTGTTCAGCTAGTTTGTTTCATATTTTAAGGAACATTAGATCATCAGTTTTCCATCAAGACATTGCTTAGGTTCAAATTTCAAGTTTTTTCATTGTATTGCTTACACACTATGAGAGCATGCATTAAGTCAGTTCAAACAGAATTTATTTTATATGTACATATACTGACATTGAAGAAAGATAGTTCTTTCTTTGTTCAGTGACATTTTACTTTTCTGAAGAAATATATTTTAGATTCCTTTTTGTGATAGCAATTTCTATGTTTATACCTGAATGTGGAAATGACAAGAATGATTTTTTTTACAGAGTTAAGTCAGTATGTAATTAAATCACCTCTTATTTGTAAAGTAAACCTAATTTACTTTTTCTAGTAATAATAATTCTTCCATTATCGTACCTTCAAAGCAAAATAATTTTTATATCATTAAATGTTATTTTTAAAAATTTTTTTATGTATTGCGGTAAGTGTTGTCTAAAATAATGTGCACCTATCTTTCGTAACACTTTTGGAATAAGTATTTGTGTGATTTAAATAAGAATAAAATTTTAGAAATGGTATTTACCTTGAAGTTCTCTTGATTATTTATTGCCCATCTCTGTTACAAACTTGTATGTTGTAAATTGAAGACACATTCTTTGCTTTGATATAATTCTTAAAGGTTTTTGTATGTTGCTACTTACTGACACTTGATTAGGTTTCCTCTTTAGTTTTACAAGTGTTAGTGAATTATTAAGCTTCAACATGAAAATTAAATAAAACCTTAATGAGGCATGGTGGTCATTTAATTAGTTAAATGGAAGTCACGTTAATAAAATATCAGCATAGAAAGGTTTGTTCTACCATGTACTGAAATATGCTAGTTGCAACTGAAATGTAATTTGTAATACCAATGAAAAGCCCTTTCCTTTATTGATTAAATACAGAAAATGCTTACGTATTAAGATGAGAATTTATCTGTTACATGTAATGAATAATATACATGTATTGCAGAAAATAATAACATTACATAAGAGGTTTGAGAGCACATACTTCATTACTGACATATTGATGTAGATTTCAATATTGCTTATGGAAATTGACATTCGTAAAAGATGCAATGTAAAACGAGACTAAAATTGCATGTAGAAGTTTATACCATTTACTAAAGGACTACACCAGAATATCCACAATGTTTATTTTAGTTTTCCTTCTTTGCTAGTTTTGTTGGTTTTATTTCAAGATTGACCTATTCATGTAGTTTACAGGAGACTGAGATCTTAATATAATGTATGATGATCTGTTTAAGGATTTTGCATTTTATCAATCTTAAATGTAGCATTGAATATAAACATGCTTTGAAATTGTAAGTAACATGGGAACTTCTCATGTAATCCTAGGACTACAGTAAGGTACAGCTTTACATATATTATATAAGTTATAATGTTATTCAGTTAAAGAGATTTTTTTTGTAAAATACATTCAATTGTGGTCATTCTTCATTTCCAGTGGTGCTATATATATATATATTTAAGTTATTTAAATTGACAGTCTTGATGGACTGGAATAATGGAAGAAGTAATGGGGTCCAGTGTTTGTAAGTGTTCTAGTTTTCCAACTCATATATGGTTTACACAAATAATGAATTCTCAATAACAAACATTATGCATAAAAATAACATTGTTGTGTGAGTCATAATTGCTGGTTTTAACACTGATATTTTAAAACAAAAGTATGTATTAACAGAAATATAAACTTTCACAGAATAATATTGTTATTGATACTAAATGAGCACCTAATTACTATACTTGTAAAAACCTGGATAATGATATACATGAGTAGTAGTAGTAGAACATTTTACAGTTAATCTATCTAGGGGCATAACAACACCTATCATTATTATTTGGATTACGGCTGAAATATCACTGATAGTAAGGGCCCCAAACTGATGAAACAAGGTATTCTAATCTTTATATGTAAGAATAATAGCATATTTAATTAGTTATCATAAATACTGGGATGATTTTTACTTCTGATCTGAGTAGGTGTTAATAATATAAATAATAGTTGCACAAGAAAATGGACACACTGGATAGTGTCCAGACTGTGTCAAAGAAAAAAAATGAATGACTAAGATGCTGTGAATTGAGTTGGTTGATAATTTATACATATTCATAAATTTAGTTTCAAGTATAAGTACTCTGTAAGTATCAATCTTAACGTAGTAGGTAGTTTCAGCTTTATGTCTGTACTTTTCAAAATATTTTTTCAGTTTGATGTTGATATAGTATAGTCCAGAAAAACATTTGTACATGTAGAATGTTTTGGATGAATCAACTGCTCATTCAAATATTTTTAAAATTGTATGTTTTATCATTAGTCCTAGATACTGCGGGACAAGAAGAATTCAGTGCCATGAGAGAACAGTACATGAGGAAAGGAGATGGTTTTCTTCTAGTATATTCAGTCACTGACAAGCAAAGTTATGAAAACATACGATACTTTCACACTCAGATTTTAAGAGTAAAAGATAGGTAAGGAAACATGTATCCACTTTCAGAGATGTTTATACATGCCTATTCAGATTTTTCTTTTTTTTTCGTGTTTTGAATTTTATGAAGTATAAATGTTTGTGAAAGGACAAGAATCTCTAAAAATAAGAACATTCTCACACTTCAGATTTCTTTATTTATATTTACTGTGTAATATCACTAATGTTGTAAACAAGAAAATCATTTTTAATCTTGCCCTAACTCAAACATAAAAAAGACAAATTTCACATACTAAAGAAGTTCAGTATGTCATATCAAAATTACTTAAGAGCCTCACCACATCATTATAGCCCATGTTGCCATCTCTGGTCATATTTTCCTTTGTAAAAAGCTCCATCATAAGGCCACCATGTCCAAAATACATCCATCTTCCTACTTTTTTTCCATAATTTATCTAGTATAGGAAGATGACGGTTTCCCAGTGCTTTTTTTCAACAGTCCAATTGTACAGAAGTCCTACATCTGGTTATTTGAATGGTATTTCTTGTTAAGGATTACCTGTTTCATTCTTCATCTGCTTGAACTATGCAATGGTTGACCAGATATGTTGTGGAAGCAACTTGTGTAAACGTAACTTGAAAATGTTGTGTTCTGTTATGGCATGAATGGCTTTTGTAAATGAGTTTGCGTTCATAGATTCTCACCTTTTACAAGACTCTTCACTTAGCTTACCAAGGCTGAGATATTAATTGCTGCTGGTGTTTTTCTGGATGGTCCTGATTGCCTAAGTTGGTCCATATTCCTTTGTTCCTAATGGCATTGGATACAAGGGGATATCCTCATATTGGAGATTCAAAATCCATAATCTGAACATATCTTTATGATCTGAATGTATGAATATTTTGCATCAAAAAGTGGTGTTGTATACCCTTTCCAAAAGTAATCAGTTTTAGGTGGCATCAAACTACCTGTGAACTGCCAAATACTATCAGCTGTAGTACTGAAATTTGACATTTCATCACAACTTTATATCCACTATTGTTGTCACCTGATTTTCTCATTTGCATGTTCAAAATCATTTTAACATAACATATTCAACCTATATTCATTTTCCACCTTCAGTCATTTTCAAATTCATTGGGAATGTAGAGGGCACCACAAAAGAGAGAAGACATTGGAATGTTAAGCTCTTATAGATTTTGTAAATCTATAGTAGTAGTAATTTTTAGTAATTTGGATTAAATAACAAAAGAATAAGTAGTCTTAGTAAGATTTGTAAATAAAAATAGTAGGGTTAAATTTTAAATTAGAACTTAGTGGTGTAACCTGTACTACAACATTAAAATAGGTTTAGACGTGTAACAGTACTTTAGGCTTAGTTATAATTCGATTTACTGATAAATCATAAAACAGGTTAAATACATTGTTTTATTAAACATATACAATCTAAAGACTAGTTAATTGTCTCTCTGTGTTTTAAGGATTAACTTGTTCATTGGACTTTAGATCCATTAGCTTAAATTAAACTTACAGGTAGGTTATAAATCAGACAAATAAATTGTATTATTAGTATTAAGTAAATATAAAATAAAGTAAAGACTAGTTATTTGTCACTTCTATATAGTTAAAGATAAACTTAATTACTTTAGTGTGAACATGAAGTAGTGATAAAAAAACTGTAATAAATTTGATTCTCAAATGTTAGGGTTATCAGTGTTGGCAATAGGCTACTGGTGTTTAGTATTGAGTGTTTATTTCCTGGCTACAAATACATTGGTTAAGACTAGTCTAGAAGTTAAATGTTCACAGTTTGTTAGGTGTGATGGGTGCAATGAGTGGGTTTTATTTGGAAACTTGGGACTGGAATGTACTTTTAAGGAAATTAGCACTAGTGATGATGGGAAATTTATATGTAGAGCTTGTAGGTTAGAGGAGAAGTTGGAGGCTATCCTAATTAGAGTCGAGGCAATAGGTAAAGAGGGCCGTGAACTGTGAGACATGGCAGCAGGATTTCAGGAGGAGCTTAAGCTTTTACAGGCAAGGGATTCATAATTAACAATGACTTTCAGGAAGTCAGAGAGAATGCTATTAGGGCTAAAAGTAGTGGAGTTAATTGTAATGAACCTATTCTATTGAGCAACAGATTTCACCTCTAGGCTTGTGCAGATGAGGAACTATTGGAGGGAAGGAAAACAGAAGAGTTGGAGAAGTATGTGGATGATGAACTTAAGGAGATTGTAGTTCTTGGTGATTCCTTGACAAGGCATGTGGATAGGATAGTATGTAGGGTATTTAGGAACAAAATAATTAAATTTTACTTCCCAGGAGCACAGGTGGAGGATATAACTGACAGAGCAAGAGATATAATAAAGGGGGATAGCAATGAAGCAGTCTTTTTTGTGCAAGTAGGGACTAATGATGTAGTTCCTTACAGATAGGTCACGGGTGCTAATTAATAAGTACAAGAGGTTGATAATGGCATTTAAAGAAACAAGTCATAACTTTTGTTATGTTATACATAAGTTTTGTCAGGGATATTGCCCAGAATTAATTGTGGGGATGAAATTATAAAGTGGTCACTAGGGCTAAATGATAGGCTTAGGTTAATATGTGAGGATGAGCAAATTGGCTGTTTGGACTTGTGGGTTCAGCTCAATGGCAGAAGAAAGCTTTTTGGAATAGATGTTTTACATTTCAATAGGGTAGGGTCACGCTTCTTTGCAAGGGCTATTCTGAAATGGTACTGCCTTCTTTCACCCAAAACTATCTGGATCTTAAATTGCCCTCTAAGCATTGCTAAAATTTCTCAATAATGCACCAGTCTTTTATGCCACTTCATTTTTTGTGCCGTTGCAGTAACATGTGCTGATTATGTGACTACCCTCCACCAGTCATACTGTGCCACATATATCTCTACCATTGCAACACAATCCTTACTTCCTCAGTTGACATGTGTTTTAACTTGTTCCCCATATGACAAGATTTTGATTGGGCTTGATCACAACTTTATATCAGTTTCAACTTCAAGTTCTGACTTTCTTGTGTTTGATTTCCATTGTTTCTACATGTTTGTTTTAGAAATGTTCTGTTTCCTAATTCTGCTTTGTTCATATGAATTTGAGTTTTAATATGGTGGATGTTGAAATTCCCACCATAAGTAGAATACTAGACCCTAGGTCTCGAGAGCGATGCTATCTGTTGGGGAAGCACAGACTTTAGTTCACAAGGAGTCCGTGTCATATTTTCGGCCAATGATTTTTCCTTTCACTTTGCGAATTTTGTGAAGAGAGATATAACTACTGTGTGAAAATCATCTTTCTACAACATTTTCCACTTGTTACCACTCCTCTACATAATCTGCTGAGTTAAGTATTGTTCAGTGAAAAAATAAACAGTAAATGGAACAATCTGTCAGAATTCTGATATCAGAGAAACTATAGTTAGAAATGTTAGAAATTATAGGTTTCAGAGCACAGTCTTCTTTATGTGTTTTAGGTAAACCATACCTGTAAGGTGAGAAAGGATTAATACGTTTTAACTTCTTTAAAGT